TTTTAAGGAACTACCAGTTTTTCAAAGTGACTGCATCACTTTGCATTCCTACCAGCAATATGTAAGCATTCCAATTTCCCACGTTAGCATACATCTGACAGGTACCCAGGGATCCCCAACACTTGCCTGCACCAAAGTGATCAGGCCATCTGTGTGCAAAGGCAAAGGAGACTCTTAGCGTAAAAGATCTTTAATAGAATTAGTGTGCATTGAGAGAGAAGAAAAGAGAGATTAGTGTCCCAATAAAACTCCTAAAATTTTCCATCCTCCTGTGAGCAAATGCTCAGCCAGTCAGGGTTAGCTCCAAGTGGGGCGACTGAGGCCTGAAAGCTTGTTACAGGTCTATGGCATCTTCTGGTTCTGGTGGGGAACCATCTGAAAGGGATTCTGAAAAGAGAGTCCACATGAAGATAATGGCTTCCATTGTCGGCCTCCCCATGTGCCTTTCACCCACATGTCTCTTCCAAGTATCTCTACATCTCTGTTTCCTCTCTGTTTATCTCCTTCCACTTCTCCTCAGCATTACTAAGTTGCGAGTCAGGCTGCAGGAACAAAAGGAATCTCCTTTACTCCACCTACCTTCCATGTTGTATAGTTTCACCCAGCCACTCATTATTATGTAGGGCGGGGAACATGGTGGCTCTCCTAACACATCCCCACCTCACTTGTTAGAGTCTTTCTGATTGTAGCCATGGGTGGTGGGTAAAGCGGCCATCTCTTTTGTGGTTTTGATTTCACATTTCCCTGATAGCTAAAAATGTTGGTCATTTTTCATTTGCTTATTGGCAATTTATATTTCTGTTGTGGAGAGAGATCTATTCCAACCTTCTGCTCACTTTAGAAACTGGATTATTTGTCTTTTCGTTACTATATCTATACATGTATCTTTATATATTCTTTATATATAAGTCTTATCAGGTTTGGAAAAATTTTCTCCCGTTCTGTAGTTAGCTTTTCATTTTCTTGATGTTGTCCTTTGCAGCACAAAAACTTTTAATTTTAATGAAGTCCAATTTATCTAATTTGTCTCTTTTTGCTTGTGCTTTTTGGTGTCACTTCTCAAAAACATTGCCTAGTCAGGGGTAACAATGATTTACGCCTGTGTTTTCTTCTAAGAGTTTTGTGCTTTTAGCATCTTAAATTTAAGTCTTTGATACAGTTTGAACTATTTTTGCTATATGATGTGAAATAAAGGCCCAGATTCATAGTTTTGCGTGTGGAGGTCCAATTTTCGAGAAGCATCTGTTGAAAAGTCTTTCAAAAGTTCTTTTCCTTATGAATTGTCATAGAACCTTTATCAAAAATGAATTGACAATAAATGTATAGGTTTATTTCTGCACAATCAATTCTGTTGCTCTGTATACTTACGCCATCACTGTTGAAATGCCCTGGTACTGATGAGGTGTCAGACTCCTTCCCTGAAATACAGACTCCACCCAAGTTAGGGGATCTAGATCTGAACTTTGTCCCTGAGGTCCTCAACAAGGGGACAGCTGGGAAGGGGATGGGGCTGAGTAACCATTTTGTGAGCCTTTAAAAAGGGATGACTCTCACCTGCCCTCCTCCCCCACCTCAGCCACAGCAGGCCTCTACCATACCCCTATGTTCCTATAACTCAACTCCACTTGGAGCCATCAGTCAGTAACTAGACCTCCCTTTCCCTCCATCCTGTTGGTTAAAATACATTTTTCCCTTCTTTTGTTGTGCCAGAGGGCCTTTTGTTTTCATTTGTGACAGGAAGTGGCTGGATCCAGAATTGGTGAGAGAGTTTCTGACCAGGGGGCAGTTTTTAGACCTTTTGCCCAGTAATACTAAAACATTGTCTTGATTACTGTAGCTTTGTGTAGTAAGTTTTGAAATCAAAGTGCAAGTCCTTTCATTTTGTTCTTTTTCAAGATTGTGTTGACTCTTCAGGATTCCTTGAATTTCTGTCTGATTTTTATGATTGCCTTGTCAGTCTCTGCAGAGAAGCCAGCTGGAGTTTTAATGGAAATTGCTGTGAATCTGTAGATCCCTTGGGGAGTATTGCTATCTTAATAATATTAATTCTTCAAGTTAGTGAACATAGGATGCCTTTTCATCTTTTTAAATCATGATTAATTTCTTTCAGCATTAGTAATTTACAGAGTGTAAGTTTTGTGCTTCTTTTGGTAAATTTATTCCTAAGTATTCTTGTTAATGCAAGTTAATAAGTACAATTATTTCTTACTTATATATTTTGCATGTCTCATTTCAAATGTATAGCAATACAGTCGGTTTTTTTTTTTAAGAACATTTGTTTATAACATTACATAACTTTCAGATGTATGACTTCAGATACACAGTTGATTTTATATCCTTCAACCTTATGAATTCATTTATTAATTTTTTGGCTACACAAATTAACCCCCATGTATTATAGGTTAAAATGTTCTTAAACTTCCATCTTTCTCCACCCCACACCTGCATTTCTCTGGAGTTTTTAATTCTCAGAGTTGTCTACACTGAGCTCTGGCAACTCATTAATTATACTTAGAGTTTTCCTATCCTAATACTGGTTCCTATGAGAGTTTATGCCCTGGCACATAGTTCCAGTTTCTCCAGTGTGGGGGGTAGTGGTGTACCCTGTAACTTCATTGCTCTGATGGAACTTAGAACTGTTGAGTTCAGGTTTTTACTTGTTAGGATGGATTGGCACTTTCTAAACTCCTTAAATGCCAGACTGAAAACCAAAAGTACTCATAGGATTTTCTCTTAGGCTTTCTTCCTTGAATTTTCTTGTTAAAATTTTATATTTTTCATTGAGTTAATTTTTGTATCAGATGTGAGGTATGGACTAAGTTTTTTTTTCTTTTTGCATAAGTATATCCAATTTTTTCAGCACTGTTATGGGATAGTTTATCCTTTCTTCATGGAATTGCTTTTGCATTACAAAAAACAATAAAACACATGACCACATATGTGTGGGAGTCTAATTTGGGATTCCATTTTATTTTGTTCTGTGTGTTTCCTTTCTCCAATACTACACTGAATTGATTAATGTAGCTTTCTTAGTAAATCTGGAAATCAGATTATATGAGACCTCTTATTTTGCTTTTTGGCTTGATTCTTATATTTTATTTCTTTTTATATATTTTACAGTCACCTTGTTAATTCCTATAAAATGAAATGACATGGGATTTGTCTTGATTTGATTAGTCATCTTTGATTTCTTTTACCAGTATTTTTGTAGTTTTTACTCACAGATCTTACACATATTTTTTGAGATTTATACCCAAATATGCCATACTTCCTGGTGCTATTATTATAAACTGTATTTTTATTATTTATTTATTTATTTATTTTTGCGTGGAAGAACTAGGGTGTAGGCCAGAGGTGCAGAGGATGAGAAGATTCACCAGAGACAGAATGGGGAGCAAAACAGGCAGATCTAGTGAAATACACTGCTAAGAGGAGCAGCGGGTGAGACAGGAGAGGTCTGATGCACTATATGTGGGTTAGCTCCCTGGCTGGGGATCTGACTCAGGCTCTAGCAGTGAATTGTTCTAGGCCACCAAGGAGGTCCCCATAAACTGCATTTTTAAATTGCAGTTGCTAATCTCTAGAAATAGATTTTTGTATGTTGATTTGCATCTGTAACATTGCTATACTCACAAACATTAATTCTAGTAGCTTTTCTGAGATTGGGGCAAATATAAGTGGTTTATTTTTTCCTTTTCAATCTGTGTATTTAATTTTGTTTCCTTGCTTTGTTTTACTGGCTACAATCTCCAGTATGGCTTTGAATAAGAGCAAATCTTGCTCTGTTCTGATCTGGGGGGTTAGAGTGGGTTGGTATAAGCATTGAATCTTTAATCATTAAGTATGCTTAGCTGTAGGACTTTTGCACATGCCCCCTTTTTCAAAACTATTTCTAGTGTTATGATACTTTTTTTATTATGAATGATTGTTGAAGTTATTTAGGTGTTTTTTCTTTATCCAAGTGGTTGGTTGCTTTTTTCTTCCTTAGCTTATTGTTTCAGTGAATTATGTTGATTAATATTTAAATGTTAAATTAACTTTGCATTTCCAAGATAAACCCCACTTGGTTATTACTGGTTATCACTCTTAATTATTGTTTGATTTGCTTGTGTTTTCTGAGGATTTGGCATCTGGATTTATGAGGGATTCTAGTCTGTATTTTTCTTTTAATACATCCTTACCTGTTTTGGTATCATGATAAAACTGGCTTCACTAAATAATTGGAAAGTGTTCCCTGATTATCCATTTTTTGGAAAATTTTGTGTATTATTGGTACTACTCCATAAATTTTTGGTAGCATTCGGCACATTCATCTCAACCCACTAATTTCTGTGTTACAGGTCAATTTTCAAAATAGATATAGGATTGTATAAGTTATCTATCCTTTTTAGAAAAACCATGTCAATCTGATATTTCAAAGAATTTGACCATTTCATCTATGTTATCAAAGTTAGGGCATAGAGTTATTCATTTTATTTACTTCTTATTAGTTTAACATCTGTAGGGTATATGGTGATCTCGCTCTCACACATTTCTGATATGTGTAATTTGTGTCTCTCTTTTTTTAATCCTGGTCAATCTAGCCTGAGGATTGTCAATTTTTATCAATAGTTATTATAAGTAGTTACTGTGTATCACACACCTTTTAAAGAACGTAAATTATATACTATTGTAATAGCCAAGAATTGATAAAGTATTTGCCATTGTTAGCCCTTTAGTAGATGAGTAAAGTGAGACCTGGATGCATTAGCAAACTTGCCTACAATATGATGGCCAGAATGACAGATCCAGGATTCAAATCCAAGTTTAGGTGACACTAAAATCTTTGCCTTTGACCACTCTGCTTTATTAATTGATATGTAAAGGATGATTCAAAATCAAATAAGACATATGAAGGGAATCTCTCCCTCATTATGATTATGAGCAAATTTTTCATTTTCATCATTGTACTATTATATCTACTGACATAGGTTGCTGACACAACATGCTTTTCTCCTTAGGTCTGACAGTAACTGCTGTAAAAGACTCAGGAGAATGGAATTTGGAGGCTGGAGCATTAGTACTTGCAGATGCAGGCCTTTGCTGTATCGATGAGTTTAACAGCCTCAAAGAACATGATAGAACCAGTATCCATGAAGCAATGGAGCAGCAAACCATAAGTGTTGCTAAGGCTGGGTAAGAATTTCTCTTCTTTAAAATTTGTGGGAAAAGTGAAATCAGTTAATAATATGATTATGGAAATATGTGAACCTTATTGAACTGTAAGGTATATTTGGTCTTCTCTGAGCTTATAAATTATCACCCTTCAAGACATTAGTTTTCCCATGAAAATAAAAATGAGTTGTTGGGAAAAAGAAAGGGAAAACTGGGACAAATGCTGTCAATCTATTTTAGAAGGAGAGAAAATTAGCAGTGCTATATGATAGGCTACAAAATAAATCTTTGAAAGTAAAAGTGTTTTATTAACCACTTCTACTGCCTTACCTTCTGCTAGGTGTGAATTAGTATGACCCCTTTGTGTTATCAAAAGTATGTCATAAGTTCCAAAAGAAATGTTCTTACAGTTAAGCAGTTCACTTATGGCATAGGTTGAACCATCTTATCATAACTATTAACTATTAGAACAGTGCATTAGAACAGTGCTCGTCACACTATTTGTGGTAAAGGACTAGTCGAGCCATTCTTTTCAATCCATCACAGTATTTTTATAAAATGCAATGTTATTTTTTAATGAAATGTAAAATAGTCATACAAAATATAAATTTAAGTTCTTCTTCCACTGAGGATTAAGAAAACTGTACAGCATGTTACCCCTATCCTAAAGGGGAAAATCCAGATAACCCTCATAAGTTTCTTGGAAGTTAGTACAGAGCTGAATTTAGAAGAAAAACAAGGAAAGTCAATTCCTAAGTATAACCAGCCCCTCCAAGGAGAGATGAGGCACAAACTGTTCACCTTTGACAGCATGAGAGGAAGAGGTAGTTACCATAGAAACAAATAAGAAATAACTAAAAATTTTTAAATTCCCTACAGTCTAAGTATGGAGTAGCATATCAATTTAGAATAACTGAGAGTGCTGAACACATGGAAATTTTCACTTGCAAACCCTTCATGAAGGTTCTTCACCAGATGCTCACAGGAAAGACTGGGCACAATAGAAACCAGAAAGACCCTCCCCAGTCCAGGCTTGAGAGGCAATTGCTGCTGGGAAATAAGTACAAACCTTACCTGCTTCACCAGACACATATCATCCAAAGCAAAAGCCTTAAAGCTCTGAGTGCAGAGCATCAAATCCTCTTATCCCCAGGGCAGAGCAAAAAACCAAAACAAACAAAACCCTTTTGCCTCAGGAGGAGTTTAGAGAATATTCCTTCCTCCAAGAAGCAAAAAACATTCTGTTTTTAGAAGTAGCTTAGCAAAAGCCATCTTCCCCTTCAGAGGGGGGCAGAAAATACTCTGGTTCAGAATCCTGAAGCCATACAAAGCTGCAGGTTGCTACCATTGGGACAGACAGAAAACCTCCTCTATAGATACAGGGTGGTGCTGCTTTCCAACCTGTCCCCTCCAACACCAGGTACATGGTTTTTAAGAACAGGAGACCAGAAACTACCCTGGCTCCAAAAACAAGCCTAGTTTAATAACAAACAGCAGCAGTCTGCTGCTGGTAAGGCACAGGAGGATGGAAAGAGAACCCCTGCTATGGTGTGTGTGTGTATGTGTGTGTGTGTGTGTATTATATAATACTATATAGTGACTACTGAAAACTGATGGTAGAGCAGAAGTCATAAAGATAATCTTCTAGCTCTGCATGACAACCCTCATACTAAACACAGATGATCACAGCTCAATACTGAAAGAATTTGAAGTCTGTGGAGCACCAAGGTAGCAAGAACACTGCCAATACCCAGATCACCTAGGATGGCTTGATAGACACCAGTGACCTGACATTCTATGCGAAGTGATCAGATAGTATTTGAAGGCAGATTGTAATCAGTTAAAATGTAAATGCTAGGACAATCACTAAACAATACAAGAGGTATTGTTAGGGGAAAAGGATGTCCTGAGCTAATTCCATACAGGCTTTGTGGACTCCACCCCCACTCCAGACCAAAGCCATCAAGATACTGGGAACTACAAATCCCATCACCACCAAAGGGAAGGTTGCTGGGACCTGAGGGTGGAGTTAAGCGGCCAGGTTTGGTATAAAAACCAGACACGTGGACCTTGGGGTCTCTCTTGCTCTTGCCTCTTGGCTTCACGGCTCTTGGCTCACCGCCAGCTCTCAGAGTGCCATTTGGGATTCCAGATCGGCAGATCTGGTAGGACACATTTAAGACTTTATCTCCCACTTTTCTCCCTAAGTTGTACATTTCCTCATTTCCCCTTCCCTTTTGAATAAATCTTTTATTAATCTTTTGTGTGTACCTACGGCAGAGTATTAAGTCCCTTTTATGTGTGTGGGTGAGGACTCAGTCAGGCAACCTGTTTTATATCGGGGCTGCCCTGTAACAGTATAACTTATAAGCCACTTGTGGAGATAAAATGGAGTCTTGAAATATAGTGCAAAGTAAGCAGGAAGAGGGAAAGAAAGGAAACAGATGGGACAGATAGAATACAGTTAGTAAGATGCTAGATTTAAGTTTAACCATATCAATAATCCTGCTAAAAATAAATCATGCAAACAATTAAAAGGCAGAGGTTAGATTAGATAGAAAAGCAAGACCCAATTAAATGTTATCTTCAAGAAACTGACTTTAAATTCAAAGTCATAAGTTAAAAGGATGGGAAAATATCCCTTGGAAACAATCAGAGACATTACAGGGAAATGAAACTATAGACAGTTATTCCCCCATGAACATAGATGTGAAAATTCTTATCAATATTTTAGTAAATCAAATTTGGCAGTATATAAAAAGTATTATATATTGTTACCAAGTGTTGCTTGTCCTAGCAATGCAAAGTTGGTATAACATTTGAGTATCAATTTTTTTTAACAATATTAACAGAATGAAAGAGCAAAAACTTATCCCAGTAGATGAAGAAAAAGTATTAGACAAAAGTAGATACTCACTTATGATAAAAATTCTTAGCAAATTAGAAGTCCTTCCAATTGTTTTAATGGCATCTATGAAAAACCTACAAGAAGTATTCATAATTTAGTGGTGAAAGATCGACTGTTTTTCAAGTTAGATTGGAAGCTCATCAAGGATGTTGTGTTATCACTTCTGGTCAAGGATGGAAATCTTAGTCTGTTTAGTGAGACAAGAAAAAGAAAAGACATAAATTATAAGAGAATTAAAGCTGTATTTATTTCATATGGCATAACCATCTGTGGATAAAGTCTCAAAAAATATCAGTGAAAAAGATATTAAAACTAATAAATTAATTTTAAAAGGGCATGGGATGCAAGGTTGATATATAAAAATTAATTGTTTTTCTGTATGCTAGCAATGAAAAATTGAAAATCGAAGTAAAATACACAATTTTATAATGGCATCCTAAAACATGAAATTTAGTGATAAATCTAGCAAAATATGTTCTAGATATTTAGACTAAAAATTATAAAGCATTGATGAAGAGAAATTAAAAAGACCCTAAGTAAATGCAGAACTTTATCAGGTGTCATAAATGAGAATACCTACTATTTTTAAGATGTAACTTTTCCCCAAAACAACCTATAAAATCAATAGGAATCAATTTCAACAAAAATCCCAATAGGCCTTTTTGCAGAAATTAATAAATTGATTTAAAATTTCATCTGGAAAGACGCAAGAACTAGAATAGCCAAAGCAATTTTGAAAAAGAAAAATTTAGAGTATTTTATCCCAAGATTTTCTATAAAGCTATAGTACTTAAGGTGTTATAGCATCAGTGTAAGGGTCAACATAACTGAATAGAGGATGCAAGTCCAGTTGATTTTCAAGAATGATGCCAAGATAATTCAATGGAGGAAGCATTCATTTACAAGATAATGCTTATAACAGCTTTATTCATAATCACCCACGATAAAAGATACTAGTTCCTCGTAGAAGGTATGGTAAAACCCTCTGGTCCTCTCGTTTTTTTTGGAAGACTCTTTATTAGTGTTTCAGTTTCCTTGCTTGTAATTGATCTGTTCATGGACAAGTATTGTTAAGGGAAGTTTTATGATTAAACCCTGATTCTGAGATAACTACTTTTCCCATTGTTCTTTGCATCTCAACTCAACTCAACACTCTAGGAGTGTTATCCATTATCTTCCATGGCAATATGTGAACCAGGGTACTGAGCTTCCCATTCTGTATTCTCCTGGGAGAAACTTAGGGAACCAAAGACCATTGTTATTTTCCAAACATTTATTTTGATTTTTTCCTGTGACTTTTTCTCATGAAAACTTTGAGATATAGTTCACCTGTGTCATTCAAAGTATACCGTTTCATGATTTTTGGTATATTCATAGAGTCATAAAACTACCACCACTGTCTAATTCCTGAACATTTTCATCACCCCAAAAAGAAATCCCATCCATTATGGGTAACATTAAGATTTCATATATTACAGAGAGATCCAGGAGTCTCCTCAGAAGTTCCTCTTTGCTAATAGTAAAGCTAATCCTGATTCCAGCATCCATTGCACACATACTCTCAGGCAAGCACTGTCTTGAGCCTCCCCATCCTCCAGCAGTTTTATTGCAAAGGAATTGAAGACAGAGAGCAGCAGTTTTACCTTTTTGAATTCTCAGTTCAGGTCTCTGCACACAGGAAGTGGTTTACAAATATTTACTGTTCAGAGAGAGGGTAAGAACAATATCAGTTTTACCTTGCATTGAGAATAATTTTTTAATTATTATTTTTGAAGATTTATTTTTATTTATGTATAAAAGAACTGGGGTGTAGGCCAGAGGTGCAGGGGAGTGGTGTGTGTGTGTGTGTGCGTGAGAGAGAGAGAGAGAGAGAGAGGATCAGAACAGGCGGATATACTGAAATACACTGCTAAAGGGAGCAGCAGTGGGTGAGACAGAAGAGGTCTGCTGCACCATGTGGGTCAGCTCCCTGTCCAGGATCTAACTTGTATCAGCAGTGGTTGCTGATAGCTTCATAATACTGAGATTTAACCTCTTGCACCACCAGGGAGGCCCAATTTTTTTATTACTATTTTATATGTGATTGTGTTTTGTTTCATTGTCAATATTATAGCAAGTTTCTGTTTTTATGAAAATGCAAACAGCTTCACTTCATTAAATATGCTTTCATGAGATTAGTTAGGAACTATTTTTTTACATTGTTTTTACAACAAACTGAATTCAGAGTTCTAAACACTTGCCTTTTTACAAGGCCATTTTGGCACATAAATTATGAGGTAGACTGTTCAGAATTTTTCCCTTCAGTAATTTTTTTAAAGGGGGGTTTATTTTTCTGTCAAAGTGCCTTGTCTTTCTTTTCAATAATAAGTGTCATCTTGTGCCACTTGCCACAAGTAAAGATTATCAAACTTTTTCTGTCTTTAGGGCATGAGGTAATTGCTAGAGCCAAATAGAAATAGATTAGGGATTAACAAATGTAGCACATGTTTCCTGATGTCACAGGATTGTGACTGCTGAGAGGCAGACCTGCACTGTAATTAAAAAGGTCCTCTAGTGAAGAGCAGACAAATTTATAGAGAAAAAGTTTGACATGATTGTCAATGAATAAGCTATATTATTTTGAGAACATTCTCATGATTAATAATTTTAAAAATGATCTTTAAGTTATGTCACAGTCATGCCTGTCCTGCTACTGCTCTATTTGGGACTTATGTGCCTCATCTTGGACCTCTGCACTGCTTTCCTCCATGAGTCCCATTCATGGTCCTTCCGCAACCACTATGCCCATGTCTTCAGTCTTCCCTCTGTAGCAGTTCCTCAAAAATGTGATGCCAGTCAATACTTATGTTTCCTGATTTCCTTTCTCCCCCCCCCCATTTGTTTCTTTCACTTAAAAAAAAATAAGCACACAAAGTTTTTGCTTCAACCACTAACCATTCTGCAAAGTCACCTTTTTTTCCCCTTCATAAATTTGTATCGCTTCATTTAAAGAAGTCCAGAGGTCATGAGGGTTTAGCTCAAAAGCTGCTTTCTAATGTTTTTCTGATCATCTCTTTCAATCTACATAGATAAATTTAAATCTTATACTCCTCCACTTTTTCTAAGAACTTGATTATTTCTAGAATTTACTGTATTCTGCCTCATCCTACCACTACAGTTAGCTTCTAAAGGTTAGTATCTGTATTTTGTTAAATTTTGTATACCTCCTAGCAACCAGCAGAGGGGTCTCCTCATAGTAGGAACATAAGAAGTATTTATTGAACTTGAAGAAAAGTACTTTTTTTTTCAAGATAGACTAGTGTAAATGCACTTTGAAAGTGGTGTCTGTGATACCTACTTGTATCATTCTACATTGACTTTTACACAAGCAGCCTTTGTTTATTCACAAGTTTAATCTTTGTATTTGAATCTCAATGGTCAGTAACTTTTACCCTTTATTTGGGCAGCCTCGTGTGCAAGCTAAACACAAGGACCACCATCCTCGCAGCAACTAATCCCAAAGGCCAGTATGACCCTCATGAGTCCGTGTCAGTGAACATCGCCCTTGGCAGCCCACTCTTAAGTCGATTTGACCTAATACTGGTTTTGCTTGATACCAAGAATGAAGACTGGGATCGTGTCATTTCCTCCTTCATCTTAGAAAATAAAGGTATGTGGAGACAGACGATACACTCAGATGAAGTTCTCTTTGAGGACTATACCATAAATACACAGGGTGGTACACTTTCCTAACAGGCAATATACAGAGTCTTAGACAAAGAGCAGTGAGAGAAGCTACTGTTTAGTAATCACAGGCTGAGGAGCAGAAGGAAGCAGCCCTTTCTCTGCCTGCCATTAATGAGATGTGGTTGTAAGTATGTCTTTTGTGTTGAAAGGGATCTACCTTATGGTATACGGTTACCACATACCACTCTATACAAAGAAAACTGGACAGAATTAGGAAATAAATCTCTAAATATGGGCCTCTCAGTAAGATTTACTTAATCACTGCTTATATTATAGGGGAGACCAGAATTATTTTGAATAATTTTAACACCAAAGTACCATAGAACTATATGCCATAAAGAGACAAGTCTAAATTTTAATGGCCATAAAAATGTGAAGGTTTTCTTTAATTAGTCCTAGGGATGTAATATACAGTATGGTGACTATTCAATACTATTGTGTATTTGAAAGTTGCTTACAGAGTAGATCTTAAAGTTCTCATCACAAGAAAAATTGTAAAATGTGTGATAATGGATGTTAACTGAACTTATTGTGGAGATAGTTTCACTATATATATGTCAAATATTTAAATTTTATTAAAACTAGTACAATGTTAAATGTCATTTATATCACAATGAAAACAATAAAATCAAAATAAATAAATTACTCTGATGAATCGTAACTCTAGTTTTCAGAGGTTAAGCTATTGTTTTCTTCAGTGTGAGAGTGTTTTCTTAAGAGAAGCACCAGATATCTGTTGACAAATATAATGTGGGGGTAAGGGTCATTTACCTTTTACTTCAAGCATGTCTTCTATTATATAATTTTTAAGAAGTGCATATTATTTTTAATGGAAAATAAATAGTTTAAATTAATAAAATAATTTTATTGATTATTGGATATTTAGTGGGGTCTATAGTCATTCCTTACTGATGAGAAGTTCATATATCTTTTCATGGCTAGAACTAACCATGTACTTCAATAAAGCTACATGTGCAGATACAACTGGACCAGGGTTTTTCTGGAGTGGGAAAATAAGCACTCATGCTGCAGACCAACACCTGAGCATGGTCTGGTCAGTCAGATAATGTTATGTGGGTGTAATTCTTCCGACAAGGAGTCCAAGAAAAAGTCTAATATGTCAGTTCACTAGGCAAAATCTCCAAGAAATGGCAGGCCTCTTGTTCCCCATTATACAGGAAAAAGGAGGGAGGTTTGAAAACACGCAAATTAAAATGAGTTGTTTGCCTGTTGTTAGAAATTACTGACTCAACCAACACCTGGTATATACAGGTTACCCAAGCAAATCAGAGAAGCTCTGGAGCATGGAAAAGATGAAAACCTACTTCTGCTTCATTAGGAATCTGCAGCCCAAGTTATCTGACGTGGGAAATCAAGTTCTTCTTCGCTACTATCAGATGCAAAGGCAGAGTGATTCTCGGAATGCTGCCCGCACAACCATCCGCCTGTTGGAAAGCTTGATCCGATTAGCAGAAGGTTTATTTGATTCAACAAACAATACTTTCATTAGATGCCCAATATGTGCCTTGCATGAGGCTTGGCACCATGACTTCAAAGATGAGGAAAAATAATCCCTACCCAGAGGTGCTCACAGTCACTTAAAAAGTCAAGACTGAGCTATGACACCGCCTCTCCTCTGGGGACAGATCGTGGGTGTTGAGTGGAATATGGTGTCATTAAGAGAAATCTTTGTGATATCTCAGGACCTCCTATAACTTAAAACATCATTCTTTTAGAATATCTTGCTATTGTTTTGTTTCTCAATGTCAGCCTATTAGCATTTAGGGAAGGATACTGCCTTGTTTGGATTATTTACTATATCCCAACCCACCACTAACATAGCAACACTAGTTAACATTGCCATGCCTTAGCTGTTCTGTATGTGAGACTTACATGCATGCATGTATCTGACGTGTCTAAGACTTTTCTAATGATGGCTTTTACATTTAGCCCTTGTTTACATTATTCCAAAAAAATTCACATGAATATTATGATGACATAATACATGATTTATTAAAAAGTCCATCATTTTTAATATGGACTTCATTTATTCAAAGATTTATACTTAATAAGAGAGCAAAAAATACTCAACTCAGGCTTGCAGATTTAGTTGTTTTGAAAAACTCGCACCAGAGATGAGAAAATGAGTTTTAAACTTGTGTATTTTTATAATAGACTGGAAAATGAAGGTTAAAAGTTGTTGGCTATCAAATATGCTTTCTTTACTGGAGCCCAGAGTAATTTTACATGTAAATAATATAGACTTGCCATGGGCTATGTTTTATAAGGCCTATTATAAGAGAAACAATCTAAAAGCTAGTTGAACTAGACTTTTGTACTTGTTATATTAAAATATTTATTAGTAACTCATCCATTTTTCCCAAGGGAGGGAGAATCAGGTAGAATATTACATTTGCACCTCAAATACTTACTTAAAAATCTCTGTCTTCTTAATTTCAAATACCTCTTATTTCCTTAGCTCATGCTCGCCTGATGTTTCGTGACACTGTGACTCTGGAAGATGCTATTACAGTGGTGTCAGTAATGGAATCTTCAATGCAGGTAAGGGGTATTTTGTTCCTAATATTTGATTCCTAACTACAAGCATTAAAAGAAAACAATTTATAGTACATCAGGAGTTATAAAAATGATCATGTTCTATGTCTACTAATTCCTGGGAAAATATCCAAGGGAAACCATTTAAAAGAAAGGGGGAAACTAGAAGTCTGACTATGTTGTAAACCAATGTTCCATCAATAAAAAATTAAATAAAATGAATGAATGAGGAAAAATTGTCATGGAAACATTCTCTGCATCAGTAGCATTGCTTTTGCTACAGTGTCAGTGTAAAGTAGTGAGTCTCAATCATTTTCCTCCTCAACATACCTGAGGGATGCTCATGGTCCCTCACAATATAGCTTCTTAGAGCAGTGCTTCACCAAGAACTGGGGGAGAGAACTACTGAAATTTCAAAAAGGCTCCCAGGTGATTCTGATCCCCAAGATGGGATCAGAATGGGAGTGTGGAGGGCTGGTCTTTAGCCATCTGGAATAGTGGTCCCTTAGTGTGTGCTTCCTCTATAAGCTGTCCTGATGACGTTTCCTGATATTTTCTATTTTCTCCCCCTTCAGGGAGGTGCACTGCTAGGAGGTGTGAATGCACTCCACACTTCCTTTCCAGAAAATCCTCTGGAGCAGTACCAAAGACAGTGTGAACTTATTCTGGAAAAGCTGGAGCTGACCAACCTCTTGAATGAAGAGCTAACAAGACTTGAAAGGCAAGAAAAGAAAACCAAGAAAGAAATAGAATGGAAAATCTTTGGTGTTTTGTAAGATGAAGGGAGTATAAATTAAGTGTAAAATCTATCTGTACTATCTTGTTAGGGGTTATTTCTGTTATCTATTGCTGTATAATCAGCTATCCCCAAACTCAATGGCTTAAAAAAAAACAAAAACCACCCAAGTATTTTAGTACTGACTTTTCTGGGAGTCAAAAATTGATAAGTCATCTTAAGATGACTTATTTTCACTTTTCATAGTATCAGGTAGGGTCACTTATACATTTGCATTTGTAATTGGATTGGCATATCCAAGATGCCTTCTATCCCATGTGTGATGCCTTCTCTGGGATAGCATAAACGGTTGGGGGATGGCTGGCCTCTCTCTACCATATGCTGGTCAGAATTCTGACAGGCTAGCCTAGGGCTCCATTAGAACAACAGTGCAAGCTTCCAGGCTGCTTATGGGCTGGGCCTGGAATTAGTGCAGCATCACTCCTGCCACAGTATATAAGTCACAGCAAGTCTCAAGGTCAGTCCACATGTGAGAGAAAGGCAAATAGATACCACTTCTTGATGAGATAAGTGGCATAGACATATGGGGCTGGGGGATTGCTAGTGGCCATCTTTGGAGACCACCCCCCACAGCTGCATTTCATCCTAGTTTGGGTAAGAACATATGTCTGGTCCTTTACTATAAGTAATAAGTTATATAAATTTATATTTCAAATTTTTACTGTAACATAGTATAGTATCATATACACAGTAAATTTATGCCACTGAGTTCTGATTACATGAGATGCACTAAACTAGGCTACCACAGTTCAGCCCCAGGATGCATAGTTGTCATGGAATCAAGAGTTCTTTTTTACTACTATCACTTCTTCCTTTTCTCTGTCTTTGACTCAATATAAGAAGCAGAGCAGTGCTACTCAGAGAGGCAACTGGGATTTCTGCTTAGAAACAGGAAATTGGACTCAGGGATAGTGATCTCTTCCAGGCCAGACCCAGATACAAAATATTGTAATAACATGATTTTATCATTTTTCCTCACTAGAAGCACATGCAAGGGGGTTTACATAAAGAATTATAGTCTCTATTACTGTTTTAATTTTACTCCATTTCAAAGTTTTCTCCCAAGTGTAATAAATATTTTCTCATTAGTCATTATGTAACCCTGGTGAAAGGAAGTCACAGGTAGAAGACAGAAGTCCAGATTGGTTTCAGAGAACCTAACTTGCTAGTCACTAGAAAGTTAGTGAACTAGAGACAGTGGCACTAACTTTAACCTGGGAGGGCCCTCCTGCCTCATTTGCAGCAGGTCTGACCTCCCTCCCCCCCCACCCGCCTTCAGCATAATGTTTTTCCTTCCCTCTATTCTCAAGTTTATAACTTTCAAAAAGTTACATGTTCAGTAGGCTAAAGCCCCAGTGAGAATGATGTATTTTATCTTGAGGAAAAATCTATTTTTTGTCCTACGGGGTAATAACTCAGGAATGGCAGAGCAAGGTTTCAAAACACCTTTCTAATGACTTATTTTGGTTAATGTCATTTCATATGTGACATTAAAATGCCAGATGAGAAGGAAAGTGTCATCTGCATTGGGCAGAGCATGGATTCTTAAGGAATTCTACCTGAATTTTGGTATTCACATTTTCACCGAACACATGAGTTTCTTAAAAGCTATACTTTGAATCTGTACCTATGAAACGCGAGTCAGAAATGGCAAGTTTTTCCATTGGGGTGTCTCCTTGACTAGTGTGTGTGGCTTAATGATTGACCTGAACCTGGTCATGGGTGTTGATCTCGAGCTGGGTTCCAGGGAATGAACTGCATGTGGAGATGGAATGACTGTAGAAGAATTTGAGGCCCACATTGAGATTGTTGACTATTGAGTAAACCTTGGAATTTTTTTCCTCATTTCTGTCATATCCAGTCCTTTCTCCCAGCAGCGTTCTCTTTCTAATTTATAAAACTTGAGCTCAACCTTACTAGGGAAGTATGAGGATTGCCTTTGTCCTGCTAGTACTCAGGTGCCAGACCACAGTAAACCTATACTCTTTATAAAGTCACTCCCGTTTCTTTTGGTCTTCTGGCTTTTTAATGATCCAGAGCATAGTGTTAAGATCAAAGCTGTTTCTTTGATTCTTTTATAGTTTGATACTGCCAATCCTTTTCAGGCCTGCTGTGGGCTGGGCCAGGCTTTTGGAGAGGCTGCTCGTTTTGACATATTGACCATAAACTGACATGTACTGGATTCAGGGAAGGGAGCAATGTGAAGCTCAGCATTCGTGTTATGTAATAGAAAAATAACAATTGCACTTTAAAAAATTCAAAAGTCCCTCCTCAAAGGAAAGAAGAAAAACAGAATAGGCAATGATCTGAAAGATAGGACTCTGCCTTAAGATGTTCTTCCTGGTGTTTCTTTGCTCATGCAAGCTGTGTTCCAGTGCTGACCCTCACAGCAACAAAACCAGGTGCCCTGCAGGAGGAAGTGAGTTACCTTCAAGACACAATCTAAAGCTTAGCTTACCAAGTGAGAAAGCCCCAATAGCATGTGGGTTTTTATTCCTTAGGAGAGTGTTCTCTGTCCCTCAAGGAGATCACATAGTAATAATAAAACTTGAATAATAAAAATAAAAATATAATAATGTAGCTACTTATATTTTTATTACATTTTCTTCAGGGAAATACTTTACAAGTAATAGTTTGCCTCAACTTGCGGCCATTCTACCCACCTCCAAAGAGAGGCAAAGATGCTGTCTTTTAGGAAGGTGGAATAAAACTGTAGACATTTTAGATAGTGGAGAATTTAATTCACAAAGCAGGATTAGACTAAAAGTAGACTTACATTATCCAACTGCCTTAAAGGATAGGGATGTTGTTATAGACCTTTAACAACTATGAGTAACCGACTTCAGTTACTAAGTAGTAGTAATTCTGAAAGCTATTTTTTTTTAATTTGTGACTTCAGTGAATGTGGATTTGCTGTTTTGGTGTAATAAATTAATAAGAAAGAAATCATAATCTTATTTCTCAAAGAGAGCTACCATTAAAATTTCAATTTATTTAAATATGTTCAAATTTAAAACTCATTTAATACATCCTTCCCTTTTCCATGATTACACTCATGTTTCAGAATAATTCACTTCTCTGCTTTCTGGTGTACTTCCTTTTCAGACTTGGTAAAGGGTCTAAATCTGAAAGGAAGCAATATGGAAGTGGGGTCATATTGCCCCTTATATTGAAAAGGTGTTTCTAAGTTGTTATGAAGGACTTTCTAATTATTTCTGTTTCTTATATGCCCAAGATTTGAAATGAACATCACTGATCAAATCCTTCATTCTGGGAAGGGCAGTACGTCCAACTCAATGAAGAATTGCTGCCCAGAACACATGTTAACATGTTACTGGACTTTGCAGGAAAGGTGTCACAGTCACCTGGGTGGTGGGGTGGGGTGAGGGGCTTAGGGGGCAAGAGGGAATGGGGGCCACGAGGGGGATGATGGCCATGAATCTGAACGCTGGAGGGGAAGTGCAGAGGGAGTACCAGTACAGCTACTACAGAAGAATCTGTCTTTCCACCCTTGAGGAAGGTGACTTTTTAGATGCACTAAGAGTTAGTACTTCAATTAGGTAAAGAGCTGTGAGAAATCATCATCTCTGGTCTTTCTCTTTGGTTCTGATCTGCAAATTGGCAACCCAACTACCAGAACCACTTTCTTTTTTTTTTTTTTTTTTTTTTTTAAAGACACAAAAACTTTATTTTGAATTGTGACTCAGCTACCTAGTCATTTCGTAATCGTAGATACATTTTTTGAGCCCTCCGAGAGTCACATTCATTATCTTTTTTTTTTTTTTTTTAATAAATTTTATTGTTATATTCCCCATACAATTGCAGCCCCCCCATTCTGACCCCAATCCCTCCCCTCCCACCCCCGCCCCCCTAAAAGTGTCTCTGGTTCATAGTTTTTTGTTGATTTTGATTTTCACTTTCTTATAGTTATTCATTTTCCTGGTCCCTTATTTAAGTTTTCTAGATTCCTGCTATGAGTGAGACCATCCGGTATTTTTCTTTTTCTTTTTGGCTTATTTCGCTGAGCATGATCCCTTCCAGCGCCATCCATGTTGCTGCAAATTGCATGTGTTTATCTTTTTTGAATGCTGAGTAATATTCCATGGTATATATGTACCACATCTTCTTGATCCAGTCATCTATTTTTGGGCATTTGGGTTGTTTCCAAAGCTTAGCTATTGTAAACAGTGCTGCTATAAACATAGGGGTGCAGGTCAGAACCACTTTCTTGATCAGCAGTCAACTACTGTGCAGAGAGCTACAAATCTGTCTTGCAGTTGAACATTTACCATGAGAGATAAGACTGAGGATTTTACCCTGACTTACAACAATCTTAAATGAATTAAATGAACTTCAGAGAGATCTAAAAATGTAGACAAACCTGCTATTCTATTAATTTTACTACAGTTTTAGGTTAAATTACAATGATTGTCAGAGCACTTAAATTCTATACTGATGAAAAAAGGATAATTTCTTCTTTCTGTTCTATAAGAGACCATATTTGGTATTAACTTGGATTTATGTTGGACTAAAACTTTTAGATGACATCTCAGAGACTAAGGAGATATAAAGGTTAAAGCAAATTCTCTTCCCTTCAATGCATGTTCTCTTTATCTCTGCTACAGGTTACAAAATCAGAGTGCATACCGATCCCAATCCCTATCATGGACTCGGGAGGCAGAATCTACTCCAGGATTCTTGAGAAATGATCCAGGGGGAGAACGCAATTTCAGAACTTCAACGCAAAAAGAATTGAACAGCAGCATACATGCCTCCCCCACTGGAGGCACTCCTAAGGGAAGCCCCCAACACAGCCCCCCATCCCATCTGGGACCTAATACATCAAGTGGAAAACATTCAGCTGAGCACAAAAATAGTAGAGATGACAGTTTGGACTGGTTTGACTCCATGGCAACTCATCAGATGGAACCTAACAACACTGTTCATGTGTCTCCTGGTCCCAAAACAACTGAGAAAAAAATGGCTTTGAAAATCTCCAGCAACAAATCTCAGGGTAAGGAAAGGAATAAGCCAGGCCAAAGAAACCAGTTGGAAATTGGACAGATTCCAGCACCAGGAGGGACAGAGACTCCTTTGAGGGCAGACAATATTGAGGGTAAGAAGGCAGAAAAGGCAGCAATAATTTCTGAAGCAGCAGTATCTGCTGATGAACCAGACTCACTACTGACTTATCATGTCCCCAGGAAACTGCACAAACTGCGCAAGGGGAGGGCCCAGGAGTTGTGCAGAAAGTCCACCGGGGTGCCCATGCCCACTCGCCCTTCTCCTCCTCAGTCCATTCCTTTACAAAATCCAGACAACACCCTGGAAACTCCCAAAAGGAAGAGACACAAACCCCTCATTCAGGTGGAAGAGCCTGAACTTAAGAGTGTTGATAGGCCAGTTCCTCCTGTGGCCAAACTGTCAAAATTTACTTTCAAACAGAAGTCAAAACTGATCCACTCTCCTGAAGACTCTAGCTCTGTGACTCCTGGCACAACTGAAATAATAGTTCAGAGGCCTAAGATTTCCCAACATAGAATGGGAAAAGAAGCAGCCCTGCCTGAGAATGACCCAGAAAAACTGACCCCTATCTCAGGAAACAGAAGCTCAGATCAGCTGCAGAGGAAGACAAAGGAGGCATCGCAGCAAATACAGGAGAAAGATGGACCAAGAGAGAAGAGAGAATGTGCCCCTGAAAAGAGAGCTATTCAGCCAAGTGTAGAGCTTGGCAACAAAACTGGGCATTTTCATCTTTCTTGTGAAAGAGACAGGAAAGAAGAGGTTTCATGCAATAATAAAAGCACTAAGGTTCATGCTGGCACATTAGCCAAATTGGCAAACTTCTCTTTTACTTCTTCCTCTGAATCCAAATCAGAATCCCCTCCTCCTCCTGAAAGTAAGAACTGGGGTACGAGAGGTCCTAGCCCTTCTCCCGCAATCACAGCTTCAGTGCTTGGCAGCAAAAGGAAAAGTTTTCAGCTGGAGGGCTTCACTGAGAAATCGATTCTTTCAAAAAACTCTCTCTTCGCTTTAGCAGAACTAGATGAAGAAGCATTAGACTTTGATTGGGATGAAGAAATGAGAAAAAAACCTTAATCATGAAAAACCTTCTGGTCAAATTTCAACTTACCAACTCAACAGAGCACCTTCTCAGGATCCACCTGGTATTTGTAATGGGCAGACAATGGGCGAGCACCATTCTGAATGCCAACTCCCTCATCAGGCTTTGTAATCTCAGCTTTATCTTTGTCACTTAAATTGTATAATCAGTTTACTTTGGTGTGATAACAGCACTTGAATCAAATTAATTGACATTGTGCTTAATTTTGCAAATGGAGTGCTTATCGTCCCAAAGATGTTCCGGTTTCAGTTTGATTTATTTTTAAGGTGAAGGATCTTCCCTAAACCCAATCTCTCATTCACTCCATAGCAAATTCAGGAAGATAGTGCTCATAACACTAACAAAGCAGATGAACTATGTTTTTTTTTTTCCCTCCCAACATTTACTGAGTATGGTGAATATTATTGTGATTGCCAAAATCATGTTATCTTTCTAATAATTTTTAAAAATTGATTCCCATGACTGATGCTTTTCTTTCCTTGAGAGACAGCTTGACAGTTCCATGGTATTCCTAAAGATCTGGCACATGGCCAAATAGTAGCTTTCTGCAGTACTGATCTTTTGGGTTTTCCTTTCTTTCTCAAGCCAACCTGGGGTACTTTAGATTCTTTTATTTCTTAGGGACCTACCTTCAAACAGAACCTAATTCCTGTGGTTGCATAGAAAGACAGTGTGCAGTAAGCAGCCTCAATCATAATATGGCATCTACCCATGTGGTTAATATAGAAATGTGACTCTTACTAAATTATGACTCATTTGTCTGAAAACCAAACAAATGAATTGGTATGACTCATTTGTCTTTAAAACCAAGTAAATGACTATATTTAGTAGGAATAGACAACTCAAACTTGTCTTTCTTAAGCGTTTTTAAAATTATTTTTTCCTTTGTGTTCTAGCAAGGGTTGTTAGAATTCCATAAGTAGAGTCTTTCTCTTCAAAAGTATAAATTTGAGAAATAATAATTGATTGATTCTTTAACTGTCTGAGGGACTTTTGGACAAAAGTATTCAAAATTATATATACTTTAATATTCACGTCATTAAATTTAATACAGAAAAAAATTTAGGAATCCCATTTTTTCTTGAGCAGTTTAATATTCCAAAATTTACTAATTTAAGTTTCTGAAAAATTTTAAACTGTGAGTTCAAATTTAGTATGGATGAGTCCTTTGTAATCTTCAGACATCTTAAGCAGCTAATAAAATATATATATACAAGCAATGATTATAAAACATTATTATACATTCACTTAAACCAATTGTAAAACATCAAGACTGTGGTTTAAGCAATTTCTTAATTATTTTTGAACTTAATTTTCTGATGTAGTAGGAATGCTTAACTTGAAATATTCCTAATCTGTCCAACTAGTACTTTCCTGGGTTTCAGTATTATTGCTAAATCTAAGAAAAAGGAAAGAATCTAGATTATGTAACATTGAACCTGGTCTGGATGGTATGGTTGTACAGAGTAGGGTAATTCAAACCTGAGTCACAGCATTAAGCTGACCTTTGTCATGGTAAACTAAATCCCTTTCTCATAGAATTTTGTCTTTGAAACTTGGTATTTTTGCAGAAATGATATATAAACTTGGCATAGCTGGCAGTATTATTATGATCTGTTTTCATCACCTTATTGGAAATACTGATTCTAGAGCTTCCGTTTCTTAGTAATGAGAGATTACTACATTTTTGTAGTTAACTAGTTATCTCTGGGATACTGAGTAATTCATATTTTAAAATATAGTGTTGAATTGTCTTTGTTAGTTATTATGTATGACCATCTGTGCCACCTTCTATGTGGTCTTAATTTGTAGTCACCAGACATCCATTGTTTTTGCGAGTAAATCCACTCTGTTTCTTATTTTAGTCTCCTCTGTGAGGATCATTTGGTCAACTTTACAAGTTCCATGTGTTTATTTTTCTATGCTAACCCAGACAGAAATTAACATATATGTAAATATTACAACATGACTAGAAGAAGTGAAATTCTCAATATAAACATTGCCCTTATTAAAAAAACTGTCCCAGCCTATTGTGATGCTCAGAATCTATGGGCTTTTGTGTTGGTAACTAAGAAGTGATATTATATCGATGCCAGTGTCCTTTGAGGACTAACATTTCTAAATTATCCATGCTATCTGAAAACAATAGGACGTTCCAATCCCATCTTGATTTTTTTCCTGTCCCAAAACATAATAGCACCTATCTGATACTGGTTCCTTTAAACATTTCCTTTGGAGGCCAGTGGTATTAGAGACCAAACTTGGGGTCTCAGAGGTGCACAGAGAATCAGCCGTGGGCAGAAGTACTACCACTTTTGTTGGGTCCCCTGTGGTAACTTCAGAGCTGATGAATGTTTAGTGTCCTGAGGTCACATTTTATTCTACTGCATTCTACTTTTCTTACCCTATGTGATTTCATGACAACTAAGACTTTCTCTCATATGGTCTTTAAGATGTGTGCCAAAGAAGCACATAGGTATCATGGGAAAAATATGTACAGTTTGAAAATCGTATTTCTGCTTAATAAAGGAAAGTGTAAAAAATACATTTAATTCTGAATGTTTTTATTTCAGGCCAATAGACTCCTTGAAAATATTTTAATACTGTAAAACTACTTAGACACAATAAAAGCTACCTCTTATTTTGTGAAAGGACTAAACCAGCATTATAATTATATAAAAGAATTGAGTATATATGATACTTAAATTTTCATTGGGATTTTATTGATATTTTTGTTTTTTCTTAGAAATAAAAGGTAAAACAAGTATATTATTCTGTCTTTAACTTTTTGACTTAATTTATACAAACTTTTAAGCTTATTCTGAAGGTATACTAAAACTTTAATAATAGAGATCCATTCTTGGGTGACAAATTTTCATTCTAACAAACTTACATGCTCTTTATGAATTTATCATACTTTATTTCTGTGCCCTCCCCAAGTGCTAAGCCTCCTGCCTAACTAGTTAAAGGAGTGGAAAACCAATTCTAGAGAAAATCTTATTAGGTCATTCACAAGGAAGATCCCTAGAATTTACTTTTACAGCATTTGGTGGGTCAGAAATGTACCACCCTGAAAGTCTGGATCAAGGGGACTACCCAGAACCAGGTTTACTTTATCCTCTTATCAGGGAACCTATTTCCAAACTAGCAAGCTCACAATGTAGAAGTCTAGGCCAGTGCATATTCCTTAGTGTTAAAAAAATGTATAGAGAGAGAGCAAGAAAAGAAGGCTCCTGGCTCATATTAGTGCTCACTGCAGTAGGGGGCTTGTTGGCTGTGACCCATCTTACACATGTCCCCCCACCCAGGGATATCCACGCACACAGGAAGTGGTGGTAACTGCTCCCTATGCAGTTTGATCAATTCCCCCACTTCCTCCTTCCTTAAAGGTTTAAGAATGCGTCTAAAGGGAATACTGGTAAAAGTGAGGAAGGCAGAAATGTTAAATTAGGCTTAACCAAATTGTTAATGTGTCTATGTAAATACTCCAGTCCAGTATATAGTCCAAGAACAAAATGCAACATTCATGCTGGACCTGATCTCACCAAGAATTAGGCTGAAAATTATTTATCTTGTGAATACCTTTTCAGGCTACTCTTCTTTATGTTTGATTGGAATCTTAATGTTATAGCTAAACAAGGAGGAGTTTAACCACCCCAAAACAAGCATTTTATCAGGTGCATTTTTATGTGGGGATAAACCTCGTTTAATTTAGGATCTCATAATAAGCAAGGACAGTGTCAAAATGCTGCATATTATTTCAAATCTAACTTTCAGAGCTCACTGGTAGATAAATGAGACTGGGTAGCATAAAGAACAGGCTGACTGGGTTTTAGAACCAAATGATCAGTAGCCAACTATGTGACCTCACTGTCTTCAATGATCTCATCCATAAAAACAAGGATTAGGTGATTCTGAGGTATTGAGTAACAAGAAAGGAAAACCTCAGAGGCTAGCGGCAAAAAAAAGTAGGTTTACTCTAAGGACAGGGCGGGGAGTCTACTAAGAACAGGAAACAAAAGTCTAGCCAGGCTTATATGACCCTGGTGCTCTCACCCTCTCTTGGGTCCTCATGGCTCCTCACTGCAGCATCCCTTGGTGAGTGGGGTCCAATTTACTACCCCTCTGCACAGTCCTGCACTGCTCACTGGAGACTTCTGCAACTTGAAGTTTTTGATCTGCTTTGGGACCTGGCTACAACTGTGCTTTTCTCTCACTTTTCCGGATGATACACACCCACCTTCATCTTACTGATTCAGACTCTGATCACCTTGGTTTAGAGGAAATGGGGAGTGAGGAGGTGAGGGGCCCTCTGGTACTAACACAGCACCCAGAGAGTGGGAGGAGACAGTCTTCAAGAGCAGGGGTGGAAGGCAGTGGTTGAGCAATCCACTGCACTTCTGCCTTCACAGCAATAGGTCCTATCACGCTAGCAACACTTACTATTTCTACTACATTCAACCAACTTCAGAGAGAGGCCTCTAAAAACACTTCGGATCATCTCTGTCCAGGGAGAGCTGTGAATCTTAACCTGAGGGCAATTAGGTGTTTTTCAGGGATTACAAACCACTTCGGCAGTATTGAATGTGCAGTTTATGCTACAGGCCATAGAGGGAGCTGTTTAACGTGTCCCTGGTTCTCAAGCCTCCGTTTTCCTGTGCACAAATGGCTCATCATAACTGCATCGTCGCTCTTAGAAATACTTAGAGGAAAATTAAAGTAGATAGGAGCATAGGAAGGATATTACTTGAAGTACACTTTAGGAATAATCTGTAAAGATATATTTGAATATATTCCAGATTTCCAACTTTTATAATTATCAACAAAGTGGGGACTAGATCCATTGCAAGGAGTGGAGAAATAGCTATGTGTTTTAGACCTACTTAATCCTAAATAATTTAGAATTACAGATAGTCCAGAATAATTTTAAATTGATCAATAAATTAAACTACTTTTTAAAATGAAGGACCTACAGCTGTTCTAAGGGATCTCACCTCTCAAAGACCTTTGGTTTGCTACCTTTAGGGGAATCAGTGTAGGAAAGGAATGACACTCTTGCCTGGAGCACAGTAAATCCCCGGAGTGACCCTCTTGTCTGTAGACCTTGCATCTGAGAATTTGTGATGGTGGAAAAAATTAAGTATATGTACAACATGATCTCTCCTTGAATGGGAAGGCATCTGCCAGACTCTGTCCAGTCCCTCTTCTTCCCACTATCAGTGTGTTCACAGAAGGTTAAAAATAGCAATGAAATTTTGTTATGATTATCTATATGGCTATTATAATAGTTCCCCCAAAAAAATGTTAAGATGTACTGAGTTACAAAGAAACTTTAAACCAAACTTGCAGCAACAGAAATTTTTATAAATTTGTTTTTTAGTACCTTATCTACTCCAATGAAAGTTTTAACTACAACATACCGATATTATCAGCCATTATAATATTTATGCTTAAAGTTTTCAAAATGCATTTACTACACAAAAACATTTGATTTTTTTCACAAACTAACATATTTTGGGTGATACTCCATTTTACAAATGAGGAAAAAGCTCAAACATTTTAGTAATTTTTTAAAATGTCTTTAATATACTTTAAGTGAAAGACTAGATTATAGAATACCTACTTCCCAATTTCTTCCCCTATTGCTTCATTAAAAAGAATATCTGTTAATAAAGGGTAAAAGTTCAATATTTAGGTAATCTATGTAGATCGCTTACTCTGTGCTAGTTATTCTTTAAGTATTTTAATAATTTAATGCCTGTAGTATTAAATAATTTAATCCACATGACAATTTATGCTATACATAGATTATCTCTGTTTTACAAATTAGGTTAAGTGTAGCTTAGAAATACTAAATAACAACCCAGTTGACACGACTAGTTATGTTCTTGTGCTACCGAGGGATATACAGGGACCCCAAACTGTTTAGGGGTACATGGGATTTGGCCAACTATTTGCACAAAGGCAAAAGAATCAGACTTTTAGTGTGATAGATTTATAATAGAATTGGTGTGCACATGCATACAGAGAGAGAGAGAAGAATTTCAAATAATAGTTTATCAACAAAACTCTAAAAATTACTCATTCCATTTTGGGCAAATGCCCAGCCAGTCTTGGCCTAAGGCAGGGTTGCAGAAGCCTTTAAAGTTTGCCATAAGTATAATGTATTCTGACAAGGAACCACAAGAGAGAGATTAGGTAAGTCCCAGAGAGCTGGGACGAAGGAGAGACTCCACATCAAAATAATGGCTCCCATTGTCTCTGCCAAGGACCAGCATCCCCACGTGTCTCTCACGCACACGTCACCTTTCCAAGTCTCCATGTCTCTCCTCCACATGTCTCCTTCCATGTGTCCCGTCCCAATAGTACCAGAATGCAAGGTGTAGCTGGAAAAGCAAGAGAGCAAGAACATGCATGTGCTCAGTTATAAGCCACACATGGCTGCTTACCCCTGCCCTGGCTCCGGCAGTGCCCCCAATCAGGAATTCAGGCTCATGGCATGCTGGGAGTAGTAATTCTAGATGTCTATGGTCTCTTCGGTGTGGCGATGGTAGTAGAGTCTGTAAAAACGTCAAGGAGTAGATTGTTCCTCTAATAGTGTTGTACTACATATATTAATCCATAAAGTGAGAGGGAGGGTTATGATGTACTAGATGCTCTTCACTGCGCCTCCCTGGTGGCACAGGGGTTAAAGTCACAGCGCTATCAAGCTATCACCAGCCACTGCGAACTGAGTTCAATCCCAGCCAGGGAGCTGACCCACATGGCATAACAGACCTCTCCTGTCTCACCGGCTGTTCCCCTCAGCAGTGTATTTCAGAAGATCTGTCTGTTCTGCTCCCCACTCTGTCTCTGGTGAATACTTTCATCCCCTACACCTCTGGCCTAGACCCCAGTTCTTGTATGCATAATTAAATAAAAAGAAAAAAAATCTAAAAAAAAACCCACCAAGATGCTCTTCACTTTGTCATGCCCCCATCCTTCTCATGACACAGAAGCCTCTGCTGGGAGCTGCAGCATGTCCTGTCATCTTTCTAGTGTGAAAAGGGGACTATTCGTGCTGCTGTCCTGAGAAAATAATTCAACAACAAAACATACCTACTTCCTCTTTTCTTTGTTCGCCCTTTTAGCAAAACTTTTTCGGAATTGTCTGTTCCCAATTTCTAATTCTGGTCCCCTCTTGTAGTCCACGCCATTTAAGTTTTTTCCCTTGCTGCTGTGACAAAGCCCAATGACCAAGCTCACCAATGACCTTCAATGCTCATTGTCAGTTCTCATCTTAATTTAACACACTGAATACTTTATATTCCTTCCAAATGCTGAGGTCAAAAACGAGAGTCATCCTTGAGAATTTACCTTCTTTTGTACCTGACATCCAAAAAAATCTCTATTAAAAATATACCCACAGTGCCTCCCTGGTGGCGCAAGGGGTTAAGATGCAACCTATGAAGCTATCCGCAGCCACTGCAGCACAAGTTCGACCCCCAGCCAGGGAGGTGATCCACATGGCACATCAGACCTCTCCTGTCTCACCTGCTGCTCCCCTCAGCAGTGTATTTCAGTCAATCTGCCTGTTCTGTTCCCTGCTCTGTCTCTGGTGAATCCTCTAACCCCCCACAAATCTGGCCTGTACCCCAGTTCTTGTATGCATAAATAAATAAATCTTTAAAAATATATATATCCACAATATGGCATAAATAAATAAATCTTT